CCAGCCCCCTCTGCCCAGCCACAATCATTCAGCTACACCCTGGCCACCTAAGAAACCAACACAGGAGAACCTCATACTGAGTTTTTAACCACTCAAGATGCTTCCACAGTGGAAGAAAAACAGGAGGTTGTTCAATTTGGGAAAGGTTCATGTGTGCCCTCATGCAATATACAGGTACAAACAAAACAGCTGAAATCTCTGAAAAACAAATTTTAAAAGTTCTTTGACTGGTTTTAACTGTTTTTACTCACCCTTAAAATCTCGTTGAGTACTTGTCTCAAGCTGCTGGGATTGTGCTACTGTCTTCAAGAGTTCCTGAATTACCACACGGTCATTGTTTCCTGCATCACTGTACCAGGAGTTTGAATAAAACTTGTTTTAAAACAACTTTATACTGCACAGAAAACACAGCCCCTTGGTCAACTGACTAAACAAGAATGCCAAAAGAATTCAGAAGCTGTTGAGGTTAGAATTAAGCAAAACACACATGTTTTGTTGAAAGTACCTTCCCCAGAATAAAAATAACCCAAAGCTTATGCAGACACAGCTGGATTAGTATTGGGAAGTAGTGAAACCACTGTCAAATACTTAACTCTTTCAAATAGAACTTATTTTTCTGGTATGAGAAATCTAAACTTTTGTTACTTGCAATTTGGGCAAAGACATGGCACATGAACATTTTTACCCATTATGGGAAGAAAAATTAAGCCTAACCACATAACAGGAAGCCTGACCCAAAGGACTGATATAAATGCATAGGATTTTTCCCCTCAAAATTAGAGGTCATGCTATGAACAACCTACACACTTAACGTAAACTTGAATGGCAGACACAGTGAAGTTAAAGGGTTAGTAATTATACCCAGATACTAGTACAGCACAGATGTTTAAATCTCTTCTTCTTAGAAGGCAGGAAAACACAGGGAAACACTAGATTTCCTTCCTGCATCTTCTCCTTCTATGCCCTACAGTAGCACTGCACAGCCTTCTCAGTCTCCAGGTGAGTAGCTCCACTACTTGATTCAGATTTGACAGCCACTGAGTGGCTTGCAAGACACTGACTCGTAAGCTAGATTACTGAAAAATCAAAGAAAAAGAAGGGAAAAGCCCTGCACTCTTTAGCATCCCCAGACTATTGCCTTCAGAGGTAGCAGTAGCTCTACAATATTTCAGTGGCAAGGAAATGAAAAAGGCATTTGTCTGTCCTGTTCTAGTCACCACTCAACCAGACCTTCCCCATTCTTGCCAAGGAGAAGGCAGCAGAATGCCCAGAAGCATATTAGCTCAACAGCTCACAGCTGAATAGGCTACGCAGAGATCCGTCCGTCAGCAAGGGAGCAGGCCTGCAATTACAGCGCAAAAAACAAAACTAAACAAGTCAGTTCCAAGCTAGGCCAGTTTTTGGCAATGGAAAGTGATTAAAAGTTCCCCAATATTTAAAGGTAAATTATTCTCTGCAGTAACAGAGAATCCATGATTATAACTTCATGTTGAAAGATTATCCTTGGTGTTGTGTGACTACAAACAAAGGCAGAGTTACCACACAAATGTTTACTTTCTGATGTTGCACAGTTCTACCCACTTACTCAAGAGAACCCATTTTAAAGCACCAAGCTAGTCAAGTGACGTGAGCAGAAAACACAACTTTGGAATTCAGACAATCTCTTTCTTTTGGAGGAAAAAGAACAGTTCTATCTAATAAAGTTGCATAATAAATTCAATATTCTCAAAGTCCTTCCCAGAAGTTAATTTCCTTTCCCTGTTAGCCATTTATCATTTTCCATGTTACTCAAGATGCACAACATGATTTCACAGTATTGTAATTCAATCAAACTTCACAGACTACAGCACAGCACACGGAGGTGCACTGTCTGGTCAGTAGGGCTGTATCAGAATACCAACAACACACAGAGTTTAGCTGCAGAACAAGCTTTTAAAGGAAATACAGTACATAAGAATACCTTCTAAATTGCAGAGCAAGGTGAGAAAAGATTTAGCAATAAGCACAGCGCTAAAAGTTACTTCAGGATACACGTTTTCTTATAATTGCAACTCAGACAACAAAGCAAACATAACCAAAGCCTTCCAGTGGACAACGACATTTACTGTCATGTGATTTAAAGCAACACTAAAGGGTTTCAGGTAAATACGAGTATTTACTTTGGGTCAGTGAACTATCACCAGCAATTTCAGAACTGTCAAAGGAGACACATGGTACACCATTATAGCTTCTGTCATTTAGCTCAACATCTGACCTCACTCATTACAGGATCCCCAGTATTTTGTGGTGGTGTTCTTCCCTGTGCACTGAAGTCTTTACTGGGTAAACCTCGCTTTACTTTCAAATCACTATTTTTCTACTTGTGAGAGAACTAACAATATGGGGGCGTTGGTTCCAATAAAAGTTCTAAATTTCAACTTAAATGGTTAAATTTATAAATCCAGAATTGTTTCTGTTACTCAGTCCTCAACATCAGCATGTTTATGGGGCAATCAGGCCCTTATATACCCAGGTTGAAACCACTTGCAATATGACCAGCAGCTCATAATTGAAGTGGGATATTTTTACTGCACACTTACCTTGGGTTAACTTCAAGGTGATAATTGCTTGCAATGGTGCTAATTTCAATTTTCTTTTTAGAAGGTGCCTATGTACAAAGTAAACATTAAATTTCAGAAAGTGTGTTCTAAAAATCTGATGCACAAATTTATCTTACAGATTACAACTGTCTGGATTATAGGCAAACCAAAAGTCTCAGAGATGAAAGAACCACTGAGACACTAGATTTACGCATCTCCTACCCCCACAACCCCACCCCAAGGGAGAAAAGAAGCACTGACACATCAACCAGCCTGGAGAAAAGTAACAGCAACTATTATTATAGCAACACATAGTACATATTCACTGCTAAATTGAGGAAGTGTGGAATGGGTGATCAGGTAGTAAGATGGACAGTTAACTGGCTGGTGGGAAGAAGCCAGAGAGTGGTGGTCAATGGGGCAGAGTCTAGTTGGAGACCTGTATCTAGTGGGGTCCCTCAAGGGTCAGTACTAGGACCAGTATTATTCAATATATTTATAAATGACCTGGATGAGGGAATAGAGTGCACTGTCAGCAAGTTTGCTGATGACACAAAGCTGGGAGGAGTGGCTGACACGCCAGAGGCTGTGCTGCCATCCAGAGAGACCTGGACAGGCTGGAAAGTTGGGTAGAGAAAAACTTAATGAAATACAACAAGCGCAAGTGTAGGG